CGCCAAATTTGTATTAGCACATGTACTTATGCATCTATGATGCATTATGCGCGAGTGACAAAATTTTATCGCCACGATGCGGAATGGTTAATTCGTCTTTTCTGAACACGCCCGTAAGGATTTCATAAGTGATATAATGTTTATTAAGGAATTGATTCGGACATCTTTTTATCATCAATATTATTGTTATTGTAATTATTATTATTATTTTTCCAATATTACTATATTTTTTACATTGAAAGTCATAAGGAGGGGAAGTAATTACAATGAGAAAAAACCAAGAACGATCAATAAAGTTTCACTGCATACAATATTTCAGATTTGCTATAATTTCGTACGAGGAGATTTTCCCTCCGATAGTCACTTGGAGCTGTTGAGAGCTTTGAAGAGAGGGTCATCTTCATTGTTCTCATCGGGCTGAAAAAAAAAGAAGGGTGATTAAAATAAAACACTCTTCGCACAAATGATTCTTCCGTTCGAAGATAGGGAAACAAAATACCAACCAAATATTCACTCTTATATCTACCAACAATCGTTCCCTCCCTATCGACCACGAATTTTTCAAAGTTCCATTTAATTTGACCTTGTTTTGTAGGATCATGGGATATAAGGAATTCGTAGACTGGCGAGACATTTTCACCCGTGACTTCGATTTTCGCAAACAATGGGAAGGTTAAGTCAAACCTTTTGCACATGTTATCCTTGATTACTGTGCGGGAAGATCGATCAAAACGAGGGCGAAAGGTTGACAAACAACAAGGTATTACGGGAAAGACAGCAAAATTACCTTCTTCACTATCGGGCTCCTGTTTTCCGAATTGGTTACAAGGGAATCCAATAATCTCCAACCCTTTATCTTGATACTTTTTGTAGAGGCTCTCCAAATTCTCGTATTGCTTTGTGTATCCGCATTTCGAAGCCACGTTGACAATTAAAAGGACTTTATTTCTATATTTACTTAATTGAACTGGTTCCTTTTTAATATCTAGAGCGGTAAGGTCATAAAAGCTTTCTGCCATTTTTGCCGATGTTGGAGTATGAAAGAGTTTGGTGGAGGAAAAAAATCTGGCGCTACTTTTATAACGTTCACTTAGTATTGTTCGTGGAGTCTGGCGGCAAAAAAAATGTATTACGAATCCTCGATGCATACTGATTAATTATATGCATAATACAATTTCTTTGGTTCAAATTGTCATCATTAATTTCCCATGACGGGAACTTTTTGGAAACGATTATCTCTGAGTACGGGTCGTACAACTTCCATCTAAAACAATAGTATGATAAATTAGTCATACCAGGTATAATTGCTTCCCTTTAAACAATAGTACGGGACGTGATGCATGTTTTTTACATTCTCATTTCAAGCCAATTATGTGCCAGATCAGTAATAACAACAAAAAATCTACTAGAGCTTTGGACCTGAAATGGATTTGCCTGGGTCGATCCGGAACGTTAAAACCAAACCGTTATGGGATCAAAATAATATGCATATGGGTAATTTAAAATGGGGACCGAAAAAATCATATTTAATATTTTGGTCGCCTTCAAAAATAATTGTTCATCTATCAAAATTTGATCACACCTTTTTTTTTGTTAAACACGAACATGCATTCAATGGTTGTCAAATAAAGCATACAGTTTCTATGTCGCACAATTTGCTCTATTTTTTTTTTTTTTTGAGTAGGCAGTTTATTAATCAATTGAAAAAATAAGTACATTTTTATTCGAGCAGTATGATACATATTACAGTTAAACTATTATTCTAATCTAACTAACTTCTCATAAGCATAAAAGTATTTAAGTTTGGTCTTGGAAACAATATTTCACTTCACAATATCTTTGAATAAAAATTCTTCTAATCTACTGCATCATTGTTAGCAGGTTGTTATCACTGTATGTCTTACAAAGCCACTGAAATACAGGAAATTACAAAAGGATAGGTTGAAAAAAGGAAAAATGTGATATCTAAATAACAAGAAAATAAAAAAGTAAAAATTTGAAAAAAAGATTTTTAGCTTTTTCCAAAGACCTGCTTCTTAAAACCTCTTCTCAATAAGAAATACCTGATTGAGATATTCTTTCTTTTCTTAACCATCTAAGAAACTTATCTATTCTTGATCTTGATTTCTTTCTTGTGTACTATCTAAGGAAACTTATTATCTAGTAGAAGTCTTTACTTTCAAGACACATTTGATCCCAATCTTCTTTAGACTGTGATTTTTTATTTACCAGCAGTAAAAGGGTAACTTATAATGAATCCCAGATTCTATGTGATCTAATAGGGACTAGATCATATTATTTCAGTATAATACTTTTCAGTAGTCATACCTAGTTAAAGAAATTTTATTAGTATATATCTTTCATTACCTAAAAGATCAAATTTTTCAATAATCTTTTTACCTTATAATGATGAAAGGATCTTGAAAGAGATAAGGATCCTCATTAATTGCAATATCTTTTAATAACTTCTAGAAAAATATATTTTCAACTGTAATCAAGTAGTTAGAACTTGGTATAGACTAGAGACTATTTAGTCTTATTGCTTGACTGAAATAAGAGAGAGATCTTAGTTTTGAACTTTGTCTAACTAGAATGATAGAAGAAAAAAATCTTAACTTGAACAAATAGTAGCTTTTTCACTACCTGGGAACTTGTTGTTCATATCTTATTGACCTCATAGAACTTGATCTGTAGATTAATCCAATTAAAAAAGTGAAGTGAATATGAAGTACTAATTAACTCTTTCTATCACCAATGACATTATTGAAACATATGAAATAACCAATAGGAGCTTGTTTACATTCTATTACTAATATATTTCATGTTAACCAATTAGATGCCAGGTAATATTGTGTTATCAGAAATTTAGAATCAAATTGAGGTAGGCAAAATTTCTCAAGAAAACTATGAAAAACAGTAAATATTTTAAGAAAGTACAAGACAGTATATGAGAAGGTGAATAATAAGCCTTCTTTTATCAACAAAACCTCTATTTCTTGTCACTTTTAGCTTTGTAAGGTGTCACTTCACTTGTCAGTCCTTTTACTTCTTAGAACCTTCTTGTCCTTAATAAAGAAAATACATACTTAAGTCTTTTCAAGCCACTAGAGACTCAAGTTTTTATTTAAAGGAGTTTATAAATAAATAAAAAAGAGTAGAAGAGATATATGGAGACAAGTTTCAAGTTGTTTTAATGAAAGTATAAAGACTTTATTAGCAAAGAAATATAAAACTTCTTGTGAATATCTTTTTT